CCGCTTCATCTCTGCTTTTTAGCCAAAAATATAAACAAAACTATAGAGCTTTTAAAATACAAAATTTATCAAAAAGCAAGAAGGAATAGATGAAAGGAACAAAGCAATTTTTCTAGTTCTATGTGGCCGGACATATTTTTCAAGCTCGCCCGGTGTGGATATACACTCAGAGTAACATCACAAATATCTAATTTGTTGTTGTCTTGACAGGATTCAGGCAAAAAGCATGCAAAATATCTAAGAAATAACGTGAAAAACATACAGAAATACCAAAAACATAGTAAGAGGCAAAAAACCTGAACATAAGTGATTTAGAAAGTACCTCCAATTCTTCTGACAACAACTCCTAGACATAATATTTTTGGTGAAAGACAAAAAATACAATAATTTCAAAAATTAAAACTGAGCAAGACCACGAAACCTATGATTTAACGTCTTTCATGGCAAATGAGTCTATGAATCACTGTTTTTTATTTGCAGCATTTTAAAAGTTTGTATTGTTTTTGCAATTTTGCTCCTCGCTAAAAAATTCAAGTGATGGTAAAAGCATGTGTGTGATGTCACTGAGTACATGTTAGGAGAACTTCAATGTCGATTTTTTGAGTAAAACTGTTTACTACAATAGTATCTTCTAATTATATTATAAAAGAAATAGAAAAACTTGTCTCGTGCATTTATGGTGTGATAATACACTTGGGGAATGTTGGGAAAATACTTAAGAAGTGTGTAAAACACTCGGCTGCATCGCATGTTTTACACGCTTCTCTCATACTCGTTTTGACTCATTTTCTATTTCTTAAATAACACTGAAATTTTGCACATAATTTGTTACAAAGTGCCAGTCTTCACTTTCAGCAGACTCTCAATACAGCAATTTTAACCAGAATACAGCCTCAAAGCCACAGGATGGAAATGATGACTTGATCTTCTTATTGATGATCTAATGAAAGATATAGAAAACACACCACCTCTGCCTATCAAAGAAGAAAATAAAGACATAGTACATTCACTTCTATTTTGGTTATTATATTTTCACTTAATATGGCAAACATCATGTCTTAGTATAAATTTTGCATATCAAATGAGCTTTAGCGCATTCTAGTTGACTAGTAAATCTGACGCATTATTTACTAGCAGACTAGTAAATAATGCTTTTCAAAAATAATTATTCGGCAAACTTAGCCAACAAAATATTGAAAAAATCGTCCCCAGGAAATGAAAGAAACACAAAATGTTGTATTTAACTTGAAAGGTAGGATTCCTTTATTATTTTACTATGCCAAACATATTTACGGGCAATTTAAAACTTATTTAAAACTCCGAAACATTCACTTCAAACAAATAACAAAAACTATCCTGACTGTTGGAAAAAACCTTGTCGATATTCTTTTAAATCTATTTTGTTTTGTATCCTGTAGATTTCTCAATTTGTACGGTACTATTTCTTTTCATTGTGCTGTATGGTATTCTGACCACTGTATTGTGTTTTCGAAACTTGCAAAGTGAAAAGTGTTTTTGAAACTTCATTTCGAATGTTATGTTTTCCTTTTTATTTTACCAAATTTCTCAACCATTTCCTGAAAAAATTAATGTTAAACAGAAACTATTTTTTAATTCTATGTCTGGTAAAAAGTCATTACGTTATTGTGTTCATATTCTAAGCAAATTCGAAAAAAACAACTTGGTAATAAAGCAATAAAATCGCACAAGAAGCCAATTCCGAAAGCGTGTGCGTACAAGAAACCGAGCGAGAAACACTGCAACACTATTAGTATTAGTGACAGTAACCGTGAACAGACCGAAAACAGTTTTATTTCTGAATTTTAATTGAACTGATATTTTGTTTTATTCATTAAAATTCATCACTGGTAATCACTTCGCCTTCAGCAAATAATTGTTAAATATGGAATGGCATGGCTTCTAAAATTCTTGTCAAGTTGGTTTAAATTGCTTGGCATAATAGTGCCATCAGATATCCTTAGCCCAGATTGTGACAGCATTTCCTGGAACATTGTACATGGTCAGGCAGTTTTTTTCATTTTGATTGGGATAACTTTTACGTCTGTTCAAAATACCACAACTTTTATGAATATAACGAATGCTTGAAAACTGTCAATAACCGAAAAGTTGGGGAAAAAATGTTGCGGTGTGAGACACTCCAAAGGAAAAAAAATTCAATGTGGTGAGGAACTTGTTCACAAAGTTCAGCTAAATAATGGTGAAAATTGTTTTTCCCAATTCAATTTTACCCAGTTCCAATAGCATCATTAACTCATTGGAAAAACTGTTAGGGAAAAAAGGATTTGCCAAGAAATGCGAGCACTTGGAGAAGTAGTAATATTCCTGATGGCAAGATGGCTGATGTTTATGATGGCAACATTTGGAAGCATTTCTTGACGTATGATGGAAAAGATTTTCTCAAAGCCTAGCGTGCACTTCGTAATGTTGATAATTATGACATCATATGTGGGGTGTGTTACTATGAATCATGAGAATCCCATGTATATAAAATGAGGTTGGCTACAAAATAAAATTGAATAATATGCATTTTGATAATTAGATTCATTTAAGGATGGTTTACACAAGAAAAATCACAGCAAAGACAAGGGCTTTGGTACTTTACTATAGAAAGGAATCAGGGTTTTCGAATAAGGAGATCGCGAGAAAATGTCATATAAGTCCATCATCAGTAGCAAGAATATGGAGGGAAGACCAACAACAACTGAGACCTAAACAGTTAAAAGGCAACAAGGGTCGCCCAAGAAAAGTTGATTGGATGGTGTTTCTTTTGTTTTCAAACATAATCCGTTGAACAGCAAGATTTCCCCCAAAGCAAGGGTTTGGAGAAAAATGTCAGAAGGGCTATTGGTGACAGGAAAAGGTTCTAAAGAGTTAGCTGGTGGAAAGAGACTGCACGTAATTGTCGCTATAGCTTACGGGAAAGGTGTGGTTCTCAAAGTTCCCTATGAGAAAATGAATGGCAATTTCTTTGCAGAGTTCATTGGAAAGCATATTAATACTTGTAAAAATGATCGTCGCCTGTTTCTCATGGATAATGACCCATCACAAACGAGTAAAGCAGCACGAAAATCACTGGAAAAAGTCGAGGACGAACTTCACAAGATTCCAGCAAGATTGCCTGACCTGAATCCAATTGAAAATGTCTTTCACTTGGTAAAGAATAGTCTCGAGAATGAAGCAATTGCTAATAATATAATGTCGGAAACGTTCCAAGACTTTACAGCGCAGGTTTTAAAATCCATGAAAAATCTGTCAACTGATGTAATCGATCGTACTATTCCAAGCCTGTCAAGTTAAGCAGATGCTGTTCTTAAAGCAAGAGGAAATCGCATAAAATACTAGGAGTTCTATCTTTTACTGTTATATATAGTGCCGAGTTGTGTCAGCCATGTGTGCTGCCCGCCCATCAACTCACTTCACTACTGCAAAGTCTTGCTTGACTACAGTATTTGTATTGTAATTGTTGTTCACAGTTTGCTTATCATCATGTTATTACTCAAATTACTGTATCTCATTTTGTCTCTAATAATGTTTTGCTTTATCATAAAAAATAGCGCACCCCCCCCCCCTGCACCCCCTCTGGGCAGGGCTAGGGGGTGCACCCCCCTAGTAAATCCACCCTGCATTTATTCATTTTAAAATATTATTTAGGTCATTGCTAAATTAAATCAGTACTCCACAAACCTAACTTAAATTCCTTGATTATTTGGGAAAATGGGGAGCACTGTTCAAAATAATGCAAGATATAGTAATAATTTATTTATTTCAAAGCAAATAAGTTGACCATTAAATATCATTATCAAAGATCGTTATATTATTAGCAAATATTAAAAATTAATAGATTTACAATGAATTTTTTGATGGAGTGATGTATGGACCTATGACGTTATTATTACGTCAATGACCAATGTGATTTAATTTATAACTTGTTATCTAAAACAAACTTAGCAAAGCAATGTCCACATGGTATCAATCTCTGTTGTTCTGAGCAAGGAATTTGCTTCCAGAAGTGAAAGAAATGCCACCTCACGTTCATCATGTCCGTATTAGCTCAGTCAATTGAGCTACCCTTAACTTGCACGATAGGTGCGTCTGCATGTCCATATTCACAAGCAGAAAGATGCTGAGCTACCCGCTGGAATTCCCCAAGAGTATGATATCGATGAATGTGGTATGCATGTGGTATTAATTACTATTTTTGTTTCTTATCAGAGCTAACAATGTTTCACATAAGCTGTATGAGGTCGTACATTCTGTTATAAAATTGGCATATGTTTCACTGATGTACAATATTATTATGATTAAAATAAAGTTATCATATTTGAATATGTACCAAAATGGGAAATTTCAAAGGCACACAGCTATACTAAGTGTACAAGATTGCACGCTTCTTAATGTTCCAACTTGAATAATTGTATGGACCAATTGTTACACCCACACGTTACTGAAGTATGAATATAATGCCCTATGAGGTTGGGTTGTTTCAGAGGATCAGTTAAAGGAAGTTGCAACTGAGCCAGGAGTATTAGATGTTAACGACAATATCTTGACACCCAGTCATTCCCACACCAGCAGATGTTGATCCAAGAGATGTGCAACATGCATTTATCTACCTTAAACAAAACACAATGGTTGACAGCGAATGATTAGAGGAGAGCTGTAACTTCATAGAAAAAACCTCATCCCAATAATTGTTATACAGGGTATATAAAACACTGAACAGATTTGAAATCGCTCTCAATTTCAGAATCCAGGGGGTGTCTTTCCCAACAGATTAAAAATGACTTGCACATGAAATTTAAATACTTAAAAGTTATTTTGAGTCGGTGGGTGGAAAATGTTTCCGGTTGTGTATTGCTGCTCAAAATTTCAGAAAATTAGGTTAATCATGAACTCTTCAAAACATCACAAACTCTCATTTTATTAACCCATTGAGCCCCAGAGCTTCCCCATTGACAAGCAAAATTGTCTGGCGTTTGTCAAGTAAAAAATAAGTAGGAAATTGCTTATATTTATATATTAATAGAGACCAGAATAGTCGAGGGAAGAATTGTAAAGAACAAAAAATCTAAAAAAAGTAAAGGAAGTGAATGAGAATGCAAGATTATTGAACAGCATCATACACCTTTCACCCCTGCTACAGTATTATCAAATGTGTATTGTGAAAAAGCAACTTTGTAGTTGTAACACAATAGCCTACTTCTTGCAAGCTTTGTACAATAAAAGTCTTTATTTAAAACCAAAACTATCTTGATATAATAGATTTATAATGCAGAACCAAATATGTTCAGCTTGTTCAAGTGACTTAAAATCCAAAGTTCACTATAAAATTAACTAATAACTTGTTCACACCTGTCTGTTTGTATAACACCACTGTTGTTCATATACAATCCATAAAAGGTGTATTCCAAACTTTTAACATAACAGGAACAATGTTTTTGAAAGTTTTTCAAAGTTATTGGGTCTTTAAACACAAGGCAAACCAAGAAGTTCACAATATTTGTTGCAACTGTGAGCTGCAACAAAGGTGTCAACTGCAGTTTGTGTCAAGTTTCCAACTGCGAACATCAATTGTTCACCTTGGTCCGACATAATTTCCTTCGAGGCAATTTCTGGGTCATACAGATCATAGCCACACCCTCAAATGTCCACAATCATCAACTGTTTGTTGGACTTTTCATATGAGAAATGCATCAAGCTTGCAGCTTTCTGGCATAGCTTCGAGTCATTACCACAAACAGCTCCTGTGGTATTGAGAAATTTTACAAATTCCTTTTCGACAAACTCTTCTACAATGATATTACCAGGTTGTGCCATATAAATCTTCTTAAATTGAAGGGTCTGACCATAATCTCCTAATTTCCCATCTTCCTTCAACTTCTTTTTCAGCTGTTCTGCCAAGTTCTTTGCCAACATATGCATTTGAATCAATGACTGTGAGAGCTCCTGGCAAATACTTTATGACCCAAGTTGTATCTGAGAACTCAGCAAAACTACTCTTGGCTACTGTGGCTTTAAATACCTCCCGAAACCCACCAACACCAATTATGTCTTCCTCCAAAACTCTACTGTTATTGGCTTCACACTGGGAAATTAATCGGTCTTTTTCACAACCCGCGCGCGTTTAGCCCGCAATGCAGGTGTTCGCGAGACTTCACACGGATAATTTTGGCGTTTGAGCAGTGCCGACATTTGGAGGGCCCTAGAGCGAGCATTTGAGGTCATCATGTGATATAAATGGCGGCATTTGAAAGAGAAAAAGGTAGGCTTCAATTTGACACCAAATATAACTATATTTTTGTTTGTGTTTCACGTTGTAATAACTGAGAAATATGAGCTCGTAAACAAGCTTAGTTTTAAGCTATATAAATACCGGTTTTTAAGACCTTTGTTTATCTTTATCTAGATATTTTAGTGGAAACTAAAACGATACGATTGCTGGCTGTATTCCAATGTTTATTCTCTGCAAGTTTTGTCTTAAAAGGATTAATCGTAAAAAATTTGGACGGAGACAAGTATGGCTAATCGCAAGGGAATGCTGGAAAGGTTTCCAATTGGGGAATGGTCTCGTCAAGTGAAGAGCAAGCGAGAGATTCTTGTGCAATCAAACCAGTCTATTCAAAATATTCAAAGTGAAATTGATGTCGGTCATACCTATGAAAAGCTGAAAGACGACAAGGCTATACTGGAAAGCAAAGTTAGTGAGTTGAAAAGAAAGGTAATTTATAAAATATGGCTTTAAAATTAGGAGTTCATGTTGATTAATTAATGCATTGGTATTTTTGTGTGCTTTGCTCATGTATACTTGAAATATAGAATTTCAGCATATTATTTTAAGTAACTCTGACTCTAGGATGAGAACTCGGAACTGCATACAGCCATGCACAGTGTGGTTAGTGAATAGGATGCAGAGGGTCAAATATTAATTAGCGAGCAAAATTACCTGGTGTTAAACTGGGTAAAATAAATAGGTAAGAGGCACTGGGGCACATTGCGTTTTAATGTGTTAAATATGAAGCAATTTTGTCTCCTGCTTACCAGAACACATGTATAATTTTATTTCAATTTGCAGCGAGGTTTGCTTGAGAATGAGAAAGTACACATGCCAAAAGGAAGGAGTGCAGATGCAATCCCAACCAAACTAGATGAGAACAACAGCGATAAAGTAATTGGCATCTCCCATAATCTTGCACGCAAGCGAAGGAAACTGACATACGCTGCAGTGCAAAATATCCATGCAACTGCAAAGGATACTAATGAAGAAGCAAAAACAGCTACTAAATGTGGACTATGGCACACTCTAGTTACAAGTGTTCCTAGCAAAGACATTACTGAATTGTGTAAAAAGTCTAGCACATTTGGTAAGAATGTAATACCAACAATAGTTAAGTCAGCAGTTACGAGCTTCGAAAAGTCTCCAAAAAATTTAATCAGATCTGTGAGTGTACTTTACAGAGGCGGGATGTTGAGTAAAAGAAA